CAGCAATAATAAAAGCTCCCTAAGCGCTGGGAGAACTCCAATTTCTTGAGTGCTCACCAACTTCCCAAGTGCATCATAACTTATTTCATTGCCAACACGGGAAATGGCAAAGCGACGTTAAGCCATGAATACGCACCATTGGATTCACTCCCTTCGAGTGTATTGGGTTTGATATCGCAGCTTTGCTAACAGTATGTAATAATCTTATTTGGTAAAACACTTTTTTGCTACTTTTTCAGCACCGGAGTGGGACCAGCTCTCAGGTAACTAAAAATATGATTTATTTAATAAATAAAACAAAAACGCCCTTGGCTAAAAAGTATGTCAGTACTATTATTAGCTAATTTTGCTTTTGTGTGAAAACTTCAGTAAAAAAGGATTATCGTTTCGCTCGAACATTTTTTTCATCTGAACTTACATGATAGTAAAAGTAAAGTCTGTATACGAGCCAAGTGGTCCATCAGGCCGAAGCTTATCCCTGTTTCTGTAACATGAAGCAACTAAGAGTATTTCTACTCTCCCCTGGATGGGTTGCTAGTCCATCGCAGGGCTACCCCCAGTATTTAATTCACCGGTACCTGTTTATACACCTGAGTGGAGAGAGGCACTGTGAGAGTAAAGTGTCTTGCTCAAGAACACAATACAATGACGCCAGCCAGGGCTCGAACCCGGACCGCTCGATTAGGAGACGAGCGCATTAATCATGAAGCCACTCCGCACATCGACGCGTGACAGGGGAAAGAGAAAATGTCAATGTCAATGCCAATGTCAATGTCACAATGTCTCTGATGGCGAAAATTGCAGCTCAGAATACTGCAGCATTCTTATTTTTAGTCACTCTGACTTTATGAACTAAGCTAACCGTAGAGTTTATGGCTGCCTTTTCAGTGACATGGGGCCCACTGCCGTGGAAATATTTCAACAAACTTCCAATGGATGTGAACAAGGCCAGGGCTGATGGCTGGACGCTGACAAGGTCATGTGGCGGTAAGAAAAGGATAACAAGCTGTCATTCATGTTCTAAAGTTAGAAACAAGCTGTAATCAGCAACAGAAGATTACTTTGAATTAAACACGGCCCACTCTTTGTCTTACTCAAAGCACTCAGTCGATCGATGTAGTACTTCTAATTCAGATTGCAAGTTAGAAATTACAAAAGCTATGAGTTCCTTTTCTATTTTTGACTTCCGCCAGTCTCAAACTGTACTTAAAGTTTGCTGTGTAAAAAGGTAAACTAATAACACAGCTTTCAAACTTAACCAGGGCGATAACTCCCTTATATGCTTAAAGGGGCTAGGTCACGCAATTTTAGGCAATTTTAGCACTGATCAGATGGTCACAAAAACGGCTCAAAACTATAGAAGATCTCAAACAAAACACAGGAAGGCCAAGAAGGAACATGGATGGACGAAACGGGAGAGGATTAAAATGGATTGCATTTGGGTAATTCTGAAAAAGGTCGGCCCACCTTTTTTTCAAACTTATATCAGTTTATATCAAAATGTCATTTGCACAGCTGGAAAATCATTCTCAATTGTTATGTGGCCGTGATTTTACAAATGAAAGACTCTTGCTCTGCCAATTTGACGTTTAGAACTCATAATTAACAAAATTAAACAAAATTACCTAAAATAGCGTGACCTATAGCCCTTTTAAAAACAAGTCTTAAACCCAAATGAGGGCCTAACTTGTTCACGGGGCCATACGAGTACGGCTGATGTTTCTGTTTTGTTGTTGTTGTTGTTGTCGCAGCTTCTAATTATTTTGCGGGGAATCGGTACGTGTTGAATGGAGACACTGCTGTCATGCTTCTGTTTGACTCCAGTGGCAAAATAGCTGGAATTCAAAATGGGGTAAGAAATACCTCCTGGCTACTTCTTTTTCTCTCGCTCCTTTTTAAAAACTAAACTTTCATTTTCAACGTTTTTTTTCCACGTTCCTTGCTAGTAATGCCATTTTTATCCAGTGACTGAAAATGTACATCATTTAACTTAAGCTCCCAAAATCAGCGCCCGGGGTACTGGCTTTGAAGTCACCGTGGATCTCAGAAGGGAACATGTACGTTATCACCGCATACTTCACCGATCCTAAAAACATCTGCGGTGGATCCAGACCCTCGTCAGAATACATTGGCGACAAACTGTTACTGCAGACTGGAAACCAGTATTCTCAGACAATGTCCATTCCTTTCAAGCAAGAAGACTTGGCGGGAACCAAATGGGTTCGCGGAGGCTGCTTTCCTTCCATGGGTGAGTAGAAAGTGGCCTAAAAAACTTGTCTTAATCGTCATCGTTAATTCTTGGACCGTAATTTGACTTACCAGTGTAATTTTAGTGAAAATTTGAAAAAAGGTCTTTTCATTGTAGCCTTTTTTACGAAACTTGAAAATACATTTAAAATTGCAAGTCAAACTCATTTTGTTATGAATTGCCCAGAGACTGCGGGTTGGGAGGTGAGGACAAAGGAATTTAGATGAAGCTTATCAGATTCTGGTCACTTGTGTTTTAGTAAACTGTATTAAATGTCATTTTATTGCGTGACTCACTAGACAAAAGAGAAACAACAGACGGTTAAAGTTAATATCTGCGGGAAATATACGCAAAAAAGCATTCGTCGGATATTTAACAAAACGTTTCGCTTTTGAAACATCAAAACTACGGACGTAATTTTAAAATTCAGGCATTTTTCTTTCAAATTATTGACTGGTTTTTCCTTTGTTTTTTGGGTGAATTTTTTTCCTATACTTATTAGACATAGACATAAACATAAACATAAACATAGAATTTATTTTATTTGGACATACTTACATACTTAGCTATGGCAACGGCACGGACCATAGACTTGATAATCTGAGTCTACAGGACGCATCAGCTAGTTTACCGGTGCGCTAACGGAAAACAAAATCACGAAGTAAAAATGTATGTGCAATTGGTTATAAATATTAAGCTAAACTATCTAAAAATATACAACTACTATAAAATATCTAAGAAAGTGTTGGAAAATAACGTCACGAGGACAACTAACGTCACGAAATTGCCTTCCTTGTCAAAGTGGCAAATGTAATTCGTGAACTAAATTAGCAAGTTCTTTCCCTCGTCAATTGACAGTTTCATATTTTGTTTCTTCGCCAGGGCGTCATTACTGGTACGACATCTCAGCGGATATGAACTGTGACGACTTTTATCCGATGTTTCTTCTGTACAACAGTGACCGTTTGACAGGTTTTGGATGGGTTGCCCAGGGTAATGCTGCCAGCTCAAGATACGAACACCCTCCCCCTAAGAAACTGGGGGTAAGTACGATACGAGCGGTGTCCTATCTATGTTATGTATGAGTACAGGTGTACGTGAGTGTGTTCGCGTGCCAGTGTGTCCATGTATAGGCATGTGGGTGTGCCCCACGCCTGTACAAGTGTCTTTTCCTTTGTTTGAGCTGTATTAGCTAATAAAGGACCAACGTCAAACTCTTATCAAATTTAATAAGTTACAAGCTATTTTTAAGAAACGA